TGTGTGTGTGTGTGTGTGTGTGTGTCCAGTCATGCAGGATGTGTGTCTACTTCAGTGGAGTGGACTTGTTCATAACAACAACTAATGAAATCTCATTTTTGTCTCCCTCTTCTTTCTCTTCTCTTTTTGTTCTGACATTCATTTGCCCGTCTCCWCGCTCGCACTGCTCACAAATCATCCTGACTTTTTATTTTCTTCCAGTGTCATTCCTTCTCTAAAGTACAACTTTTAAAAAATGGTGAAGGGAGTCTTGGTATTTACGTCTAAATTTTTTGCTCAAAGTGTTGTGGTGTCTATCGGCTCTGAATCACTGTACACAACATGTTGTTGAATTATTTTCTGCTTGCCAATAAGTTTGTCTCATTTTAAAGAAAACATGTTTGTTTTAAATAGAATTTTTACCTTATCAGGAAAGTCCTCAAAGATTTACAACTGGTCACATCTCGATCGCTGACTTTGCAGAAATTAGATTTTCAAGAAACTTACAGAGACATTGTCAAGTCATTTACAAGYTATTAGATGTTTAAATCTAACATCTCAACTTTCACTTAAAAGCCATTTCACTGTTGTATAATTCAGTTGGGGTCATTACAGTGAGCAAATGAAAATTGTACCCTCACACAGTGACTGCTGGATGGGCACCAGTGACCCTCGTGATCCTGAAAGGAAGAAGCAGGTTAAGAAAATGGATGGATGGATTTGATGGACCTGCAACTTGTCCAGGGTGTCCCCACAATATTTCTCAAAGTGTTAATAAAAAAAGTAAAAACTGTAAGCAGTGCAGCTTAAACCCTGAGTGTTTAATCACCACTTCTTTTGTTTTTGGAGCTATTTCAGACAAGCCTTTCTGAGAAAGTGCCAGCACTTGGACAGAATGGATGGCAGCTAGACAAGATGACAAATAAGATAATGTTTTATTATTCTGTTAAACAAAAAAAAATCATTTGAATCTCAAGTTTCAGCATAGTTAGCAGCCTGCATTTTTACAGTAATTGGAGTAAACATACTTTAAATATTTTTTTCTGGTGAGGCATCATTCTCATTAAGTGTTTGAAGCTTTTTATTCTCCTGACTCACGCTGTTATTATGTGGAGGAAAAGTTGATTTAGAAAAAAKAGGCTAAAGACAACAAAGCGATTAAGCTCCATTGTCTCCACAACCTCTGTCAACAAAATGTCACACTAGGCTGATTTTCATCAGTATCACTTTAACTGTTTTAATTTTTTTCACTCTGTTTAGTCTTTTTACAGCTGCTTTCTGAATGAAGCAAATGCTCAACACACAGAGAACATCCATCCATCCATCCATCCATCCATC